GCTGCCCATACGTGCTATGGTGGAGCTTTAAAACATGATCATAGGCAAGCCAAAAGTTGGGTGGTAGGACATCTTGTGCAAGAGAAGTTCACAGATGTCTCCCGCACGTATAGACCGAAGGACATTATACAAGACATGAGGAAGGAGTATGGTGTCAATTTAAGTTATGATAGAGCATGGCATATTAGTGAAGAAGCACTCCGGCTTATTAGAGGTGATCCAACATCGTCATATGGTCTACTTCCAGCTTATGGTGAAGCTTTGAAAATCATGAACCCAGGTACTATTTTCGAATTAGAACTAGAAGGTGTCAAATATTTCAAATATGTATTTATGACATTGGGTCAATCGATTCGAGGTTTTGTGGGTTGTATTAGACCAGTGTTGGTTGTTGACAGGGCCCACCTAAAGGGGAAGTTCAGAGGGGTATTGTTATCAGCTTCTGGTGTCGATGCGAATAACCAGATTTACCCGGTAGCATTTGTGATTGTCGACGGTGAGACGGTAGCATCATGGGTGTGGTTTATGACTCAAATAAAACGTGCGCTCGCTGGAGTTGATAATTTGGTTTTCGTTTCTGATAGACATCAAACCATTTGCAAGGCAATCGACAAGGTATTTCCTACTGCATTTCATTGCTTTTGTATACAGCATATCAAGGTTAACTTGATAGCAAAATTTAAAAACGATGCGAAGGCAGTCGAGGAACTATTTTTAAAGGCTGCAAAGGCGTATCGCGAGTCATATTTCAACTCGATCTGGGCCCAACTTCGTGCATACCCCGGTGTACGGGAATATCTAGACGATATTGAGAAGGAGCGTTGAGCTCGTTGTTTCCAAACTCAATTGAGGTACACACAGATGACTACAAATATCGCAGAGTCTGTAAATGCCCTCTTCAGGCACGCCCGTAAGTTGCCGGTTACCGCCTTACTTGACCACATTAGAGGTAAGTTACAGAATTGGTTCCATGATCGACGGACGCTTGCAGCTTCCTGATCAACCACATTGTCCGACTACGCAGAAAACATGTATGCCGAATATTCAGATAGTGCGCGGAGACACATTGTAGACAACATTGACCAGTTCCATTTCCAGGTACGGGATGACAACCTTGACGGGATTGTTGATTTGAACGCTATGACGTGTAGTTGTTGGGAGTTTGATTACTTTAAGATTCCGTGCTCTCATGCTATTGCGGCGGCGACGATGCGAAATATAAATCCATACAGTCTGTGCGACGAGGCATATACGACGAACTCCTGGATATTGGCTTATGCAGAACCCATATTTCCAGTCGGACACGTCTCGACATGGAACAGTTCGCCAGAGTTTGTCAACATACCGGTGGAACCACCGAAGACTGTTCCAAGAGTTGGGAGGAGGAAGACAACTAGGATTCCTTCCACGGGCGAGGTACGACAAACACGTAAGTGTGGTCGCTGTGGTGCGTGGGGACACAATCGCAAAATATGTAGCGAACCCTTTACCACATTGTGAATGTATGCTTCTGTTGTTCATTTACTTTTAAACATGTATGAAGTGGATTTTAAAGAAATTGGCAAGGTAACTTGTATCTCAAGAAACCAACCATGCATGCATGCATTTGCAACTCTATGTGTTCTACTACTACTATTATTATTATGKGAATTGGATTGTATTATTATTGTGTGTTTCATGTATCATGCTTCGAGAATGAAATACGAATTAGAAAAGACAATATCGAAATTCCATAAATATTCAAAAAATGGGACGGCGCGCCTACATCTGTACAGCGTACTGACGCCTAAAAAATACAATATTATCTTGGGTCAAAGTGTCCAGCTTTGACCCGGTAACATCGTACTCGAAGAAGCGTACACAGAAAATTCTGCAATCTGTGGCGTTACTCTATTGGGGTGTGCGAACCCGACGCACCCTCAATGGCACCACTGGCAGGTCCGGTGGTGATGCAAATATCCCGCCATGATGTAGTACCGCAGGTAGGATCGTACAAATGGGCTTCAGCTCCTTCTCGAGTGAATCTAGTGGAGTGGTCGATTGGAGTGAATCCCATACAGTTAAGTCACCTTCCACAAGATCAATTCCGAGCATCACCCAGTGGTTTCCACCTATGTTGATCGGGGTGTACACATTCTGGTCCGACTGCCTACCGAACACATACCGAAATATTGTAGTCTCTTGGCTCCAGGGGTATTCGATTCTCGTGGACAGGACCCCTGGTTTCATGGCCGCATATGGACCGTCTGTTCGGTTCAGCAGAGTCTGTACAAGAAGTACAAAATGATATTACTTACACAGATAATTAAAATAGTATTTTTTAGTTCAAAATAGTAAAAAGTCTGTACCGAAAGTAGCACGTCGCCTATCGCAAACTTTTTGCGACACAGATGTACACACTTCTCCAACTTTTTGGCCGTAAATAGGACGAGAGCATCAACTACCTATTGCATTTAAGAAATACAAGTTGATATTGGAATATTATTGACAAATGTAGTACTAGATAGTGGAATAAGAGGTACTTACCTCGTCCTTCAATTGGACAGTAGGGTCTAGTAGATCG